GGTTGTGTTGTGATGTTTGGCTTTCAATGTGGCCTAAAGATCGACTCGCAAAAACACAAAAAAATAAGTTTTCGGTCCACTTCATCCCAAAATTATTATCTGATCATCGCCGAAAATTATAGGCGTTGTACTTAACCATAACTGGATCCGCATGAAACATTTCAAAGCGATCAGCGCTATATTTCCGCCCTCTAGTGTGGTAATGGGTTACTAAACAATATATTAATACGTAAGCACCTGTAAATATTTACGTGTAACTCCCACATCCGAGTACATACGACAATGTAATTGGTATCAATTTAAAGGCCAACCACTCCTCTTGGATATACAATCAACTTCTCTGCTCTATGTCCTTCAGGAGTAAATATATACGCTATAGAATACAATCTTTTTTCATTTTTCACACAAAATCAGGGTCCATTTGACTCTCTAAATATTGAGCGATCTTTATAAAAACAGGCATGTGAAAAAATTTGTTTGAGCAATAATTGCGATCTATCCATAAAAAAACCGACAAAAATTCAGTTTTTGGTCCATTTCATCCCCTAAATATTAACCGATCTTTACCCAAAACAATAGTGGCAAAATTTAGTGAAGATTGGTCCATAACAGTGGCCTCTATCGCGTTTACAAATTATAATGGACAGACGGACGGACACATTCTATGACCCAGCTAGTCGAATTTTGTACGGTGGGTGTGCAAAATTTGGTGTTACAAACTCTTGGGGCTGCAAAACCTATATTTCCTGTTGTAAAAACCTATATTTCCCGTAAAAATATGCAAGCGTATGTCCATTGAAAAATTATTAAAAAAATACATTTACACTAATAGCCAAAATGTTCTTGAAAAACTATTTAAAACAAATTATTACTTGAGATTTTTTCAAGCAGTGGTTAAACATTTCCAAACACATTATATTTTTTGAAGTCGTAGGGCCCAGATGTCCCTTAAAAAAATGTTTTTAATACACACTTATAAACTTCTATTTAATTTTAAAATACCGCCAGTATTCCGTTTGTGGATGTAATTTCCAGAATAATTTTAATACTAACCAGTAAGGAATGTAGTAAAGTCGGACGGGGCCGACTATATGATACCCTTCACCACTATGGGTAGATTAAGCAGGAATATTAACATAAAATTGGATGAAAAAAAATATGTGATATTTATCTAAATGTGAATTTACCTAGATCTATCCATAAAGTATGTCAATCGACTTCAAACAAATATAAATAGGTCATCCGTTGGTCTATGTCTGTACTTCTAGAAAACGCAACTACGTAATTCTATGCTCAATTTTATACGTTGTGCAAAATTTGGTGTCAATCTGACTAACAATTTACTTGAAATCGGGCGAAAATATATATGGAAGCTCTATCCAAATATTAAGCGATTTCAAACAAACTTGTCACAGGTTAGGTTATACTAATTTCAGAACGTTTTGTTCCTATTGGTTCCTTAGTACGTCAATTACTAAAATATATAATAAAAGGGAGCTATATCTAAATCTTGACCTATTTTCACGAAACTTGGCAGACATCATTCTAGACTCAATACAGTACGTTATGCCAAATTTCGTGCAAATCGAAAGATATATAGGGACTTTGGGGCACCATTTACATGAAATCGGACGAAACTATATATGGGAGTTATATCTAAATCTGGACTGATTTTCTCCAAACTTGGAGGACATCACTCTAGGCTTAATTCAGTATGTTATGCCAAATTTCGTGCAAATCAAAAGATATATAGGGACTTTGGGGCACCATTTACATAAAATCGGACGAAACTATATATGGGAGCTATATCTAAATCAGGACCGATTTTCACCAAACTTGGCAGACATCATTCTAGACCTAAATGATTAGGCTGTACCAAATTTCGTGCAAATCGAAAGATATATAGCGACTTTGGTGCACCATTTACATGAAATCGGACGAAACTATATATGGGAGCTATATCTAAATCTGAACCGATTTTCTCGAAACTTGGCAGACATCATTCTAGACCTAAATGATTAGGCTGTACCAAATTTCTTGCAAATCGAAAGATATATAGGGACCGTTTACATTAAATCGGTTAAATATATATATGGGAGCTGTATCTAAATCTGGACCGATTTTTCCCAATTTCAATAGGGTTCGTCCTTGGGCCGAATAAGTGACCTATGCCAAATTTCATCCAATTCGGATCATAAATGCGACCTGTACTTTGTTTACAAAGTACAGACAGACAGACGGACGGACGGACATGCATAAATCGACTTAGAAAGTGATTCTATGCATATTCTCAAAAGGAACCATGTGTCTATCTCGTTTCCTTTTGCCTGTTACAAACATATGCACCAAGACATAATACCCTGTACCACAGTGTGGTGAAGAGTATAAAAATTATGTTTTTATAAAAATATTTTTTAAATAAAAAAATGTTATTTAATTCATGTACTTAAATTCTTAAATTTCCCCGTTCTACATTATAAAGAATTTTATTTATAATAACATTAAAATCCCGTAAAAAATTAGATATAAAACCAGTGAGCGGAGCAGTATAGTCGGACGGGGCCGACCATACGATACCCTACACAACTTCCATGAAAATCTAAATTTTTGTGGTTCTATATTCTGAGATTTGGCAATATTTCGCGATCTTTGCACACTTTTGACTGGCTAGAGGTCAGCAAATATTACTAATAATCAGTACAGCCCCTCTAATTACTTGTCCAGATTCCCTTCGCCGTGGGTTGTGTTGTGATGTTCGGCTTTCGACTCGAAAAGTACAAATAATTAAATTTTCGGTCCACTTCATCCGAAAAGTTATCTGATCATCACCTAACATTTTAGGCGTTGTCCTTGACCATAACTGGAACCTCATGGAACATTTCAAAGCGATTAGCGCTATATTTCCGCCCTCCAGTGTGGTAATAGGTTACTAAATAATATATGAATACGTAAGAACCTATAAATATTTAAGTGTAACTACCGCATCCGAGTACCTACGACTATATAATTGGTATCAATTTAAAGGTCAACCACTCCTCTTGGATACACTATCAACTTCTCGGATCTATGTCCTTCAGTCGTAAATATATACGCTATATAATACAAATTTTGTAATTTTTCACACAAAAGTTAGGGTCCATTTGACCCGCTAAATATTGACCGATCTTTATCAAAACAGGCATGCTTATTCTTTGACCCGATCCCCTTCTCCATGCAAAAATTCGCGGTGTTTGGGCCATAATTGTGGCGTCTGGAGCGACCAGAAAATCAGACAAAAATTTAGTTTTTGGTCCATTTCATCCCCTAAATATTAACCGATCTTTTCCAAAAACAATAGGGGTCTTCATTGGCCAGAACCCATCCTACATGCAAAATTTCGTGAAGATTGGTCCATAACTGTGGCCTGTATCGTGTTTACAAATTATAATGGACAGACGGACGGACGGACGGACGGACACACATGTCTAGATCAACTCAGCTAGTCGAGATATGACGATCGGTATACTTAAAGGTGGGTCTAGGACCAATATTTCGCGGCGTTACAAACTTTTGGGGCTGCACAAAGCTATAATACCCTGACAACATAGTTGTGTAGGGTATAAATACTAAGATTGAAGAAAAATTATATATTGTGTTTCCTTTAATTGCTTTATTTGTTCGTTTGTTATAAATGCAAATAAAATAGCTTTTTTAAAGAAACTACAAATAAATACAATTGCCAGGTTTAAAAAGCTTGTATTAAGCTTTCTAAAAGTTTCTTAACAAAACTACTGAACAAAACTTTTAAAATATATCCCCTATTCTGGAAGTTAATAAATAAATTCCATTCCCAAGGACTTTAAAAATATCTGTTTTTTTTATTTATTCTCAATATTTGAATTTAATACATTTGACAAAAAAAAAATAAATATTTTTTTTGCAAACAAAACACATCTATTGTTAGTCTTAAAATAATTGAACAATTTGTCGTCATATAAAACAAATACACGATCATCATATACAGTCTCTGTCTCTCATGCAAACATCACACACACACACACATGTACACATATTGACATTAGCGATTTTAACGAGAAAAGGTATGACAACGTGACCACTACAATATCATTAAAATATGACGCACATGTGTAGTACATAGTTTGCTTCAAGTGGAAATTACTTATAGAATTTGTAACAAAAAACATTTTTTTGAGAAAAAAATTTATTAAATTAACTTTAAATTAAATTACAATTGATTGCAATTATTTATTGGCGAAAAAAATATATTTTTTCAATAAAGATTTTTTTCGATTAATTAAAAGGAAAAGACAACATTGAGGCAGGCTGAATAAAATGTTTCAAATTAAATCTAAGGAACACACTTCTAACCACAGCTTGACTTAAACATTATAGCATAAACATTTTTAATGAATTTTCTCGTTAAAAAAAAAACAACTCATACACCATAATTAAAAATCTATAAAAATCATTAAAAAAAATAAATCCAAACCTATATTAATGCCGCATTTGCAATGAGAGCACATCATTTTCAGATATATAGAAGCGAGGTTTATCCAATAATTTTTTTTAATATGTGACATACGGAAGTAAAGAAATTGGAAATAATTTTTAACGTAAAAAAGCCCCTCCATCCTCATAAAACAACCGCCAGTGAGTTAATAATTTTCAACAAGAATTTTACAAAAAAAATTTCTTTGTTTTGTGTTCCATCCCCTCAAAAATCAGTAAACAAAACCCTAAACATTGATTTGTTTCAAAATTATAAAATGCCAAACTTACACATGGATTTCTTGCAAGTATTGTGGCTTTTAAAGAAATACCATTTTCTCGAGTTAAAGGTGTTAAATACCTAAACGGATTTAAACAAACCAACCAAATTCCAATAACTTAAACAAGTGCAAGTGAATACAAAAATTTTAAAGTGAAATTTGAAGGAAAAAAGAATTGCCTTTGGTGGAAGAAAAGCCGTTGAAACGTAAAGGGGCTTAAGCTCTTTAAGCCATCATGGCTTCAGAGGCCTCACAGTGTAGTGGATATTTCCAGGATCACGGCAATACGGCAGCTCTAAATCAATATTTCCAGCATTTAAGTTCCCAATCGCATTCGACCACAGGCGGTGGCAATAACTGTGGCAGTGATAGTGGCAATGACAGATCATCGGCCGATAATACTCGCAGCAGTATCAGCAGCAATGATTCATCAAAGTCATCAACTAATTTAGGCGGTTCAAGGAGTAGTGGTGGCAGTAGTGGCAACAACAGTGGTCAATGGCAGAATCTACAAAATCAACAACAGCAGCAGCAACAACAACATCAACAGCAACAACAACAGCATTTACAACAACAACAGCATCACCAACAGCAACAACATCATCAACAACAACAGCAACAACATCATCATCAGCAGCAGCAACAACAACAGCAGCAGCATTTACATAATCAAAGCCTAGCGCAAAACCACCAACAACAGCAGCAACAACAACAAATCCAGCACCAGCAACAACAACAACATCACCACCAGCAGCAGCAACAACAACAGCAACATCAAAACCACCACCACCAACAACTCTCTGCAGCACTTAGTCAAAGTTTACAACAAAATTTAGCTGCCTCAAATTCAAATGCTAATGCAGCAGCGGCGGCCGCTGCAGCCGCTGCTGCTGCCGTAGCCACTAATCCTCACTCTATATTTGGCACCGGTAATTTCCACTATAAAACCAATAATTCTTGGTCCATACCCTCACTGTCCTGCTATCAGCGGCTCTACAATGAAAATGCCCATTATCAGCGTAATTATAGCGGCAACAGTGGTGGCACTAATTCTGCCTGCAGCAGTGGCAGCAGCAACGGCAGCATTAATAACAACAACAACAATACTAGTTCCAGCAATAATTCCAGTGATGCAGTGGCACAATGTAATGTAAGTGGTGGTGGTGCTGGTTTAAATGCAGGTGGTGGTGGCATTGGCGGCAACGGCAACTCCTCTGCCCTAAACAATAACTGCACAGCAACATTTGCTGAGGCGTCAGCCGCCGCTGTTGCTGCGAACAATACAGTTCAGCAGGTGGCAAATGCTGTGGCGGCAGCAGTCATTGCCAGCGAACATCATAATCATCATATGAACAGTTTAAAGTCACGTTTTCAACCATCCAGCTCAGGTAGGCATTAGAAGTATTTTTTGGGGGGAGGAAAAGGAGGGATTGCTGTGACAAAAAAATACATGTTTGATAAAAATTTACCAGTGTTGGTCTGTAGTGGAATTCTGTAATATTTTGTCATAAAAATGGAAAAAATATAAACTTTTCAAATCAAAATTTTTGCTACTGTTTGATATAAATTATAGAAGTTTATTTCATTACAAATCCGAATGACCACAATGTGAATGCTCAAAGGACCCTCTTCTTCTCAAGAAATCTTCCATAACCCAGTGACAATGTCCCTGATACCCTCACAAATGCTATATCTGAGGTCTTTAATCGACGCAAATGTAAAATCACAACCTCAAGGTGGCCACTTTAGACCACCTCTTTGAGAGTTGTCATGGCCCCGAATCGACTCGATCGTAAAAGACACCAAAATCATACGTTGAAAATGGTCAGGATTCTCAATAACTTTGGAGGTTTTCTCGTGCTAAATGCGACAATTTGTCTTGTTGATTTTTCCACTGGGATTTGTTTGAATTCCGGACCAAGTTCCACCGAGGGACCTTATTAGCAAAGACAGGTCGTTGTTGATGATATGACCTTAAGTCCCAAGATCTTATGTAACATATGATGTTATGGCGTCTGTGGAGTGTCCAAAGAACATCAAGGAAGGGACTGGAATCCGATTAGGCAACAGTGGTAATATTCTCTGTAGTTCTTCAGCATCTAATTTCTTCCAATAGGTCGAAGATAAAGCTTCGAAATGTTGCATAAATCTTGGTAATACTCATAAGATGCTAGATATTGACATATATCAGTTAACTTTATTGGTATGACCCCTAAAAATTGATCCGGCATCTTTTTCGGTATTTTTAAGGGGTTAATTGCAAAAGACCCCTCGGTATTGACAAATATTTTTTAGTCAATTTTCCGAAGTGGCTGTAATTTGGTATTCTTAAAAAGAATATTTTCGATATAGGTCTAGTTTTCTAAATAGTCCCCAAATAAAGGTTCCGCCTCGTTTTCGGTATTTTAATGGTAGAAGCCAAAGTGGATGTAATTTGAAGTTATAGATTATTGAGGAGTTAAAAACATCTTTGCAGAAATTTTTGAAATATATCCATTTATTTATATAGCCCCCATACAGAGGTCCCACCTATTTTCTGTATTTTGAATGCCCAGGTCATATTTGTTCAGTCGATGTAGCTGCAATTTGGCATTCTGGGTTCTTGGAGGGTGAAACATACATTTATTGGAGATGTTCGAACTAGGGCCAATTTTGACATAAAACACATATAAAAATCCTGCCTCATTTTGAAAATCTGTTTTTATATTGCCTCCATACAAAAGGTCACGCCGCATTATCGCCGCATTTTTCCAATCGAAGTGGCTGTAATTTGGCATTATGGTTTCTTGGTAGGTGAAAAAGGTGACGCCCCATTTTCGGTATTTTTTGAAAAAGATCGATGTTTTTTATCGCCCCTATATTAAAGGCCTCCACCATTCTCGATATTTAGAAGGTTTATGTCCAATCGAAGTGGCTGTAGTTTGACATAATGGGTTCCTGGGATGTGAATTTGACTTTACCGATTCTTATAAAGGTCAGCACTTATTTATTTTGAAAATGTTAGCCGCATTAGTACAATAGAGGTGCTTGTAATTTGGCAATAGGCTCGCAATATTGAAGATAGAATTTGAAATTTTGCACATACATTTTTACTACCCTTGGGATGTTTGGTATTGAAAAATATGTGTTTGTATATTTATGTATAGCGCCCATATTACGTTACCCTCAACATTCGATTTGTGCACGTTTTTCTTCCGAAAACCCCAAATGACAAATTGGGATTTTCATAGGGGTAAATGACAAACCTTCCTACAAAAAATGGCCAGTAATGCTAACTACCAATTTTCAGCATTTTAGTAGTTTTGGGATTCCGATTGGGTAGAAAATCTATAAAAATTATAAATATTCATTCATTTATCAGGGTAGTATCTATATACTATACTACTGTATCATGTCTCGAAATGAAATTGGCTTTATTTTGATATTATGGATTCTAATGTGGCAGAAAATCCCCCTGCCAAAATTGATCAATATTGGCCTGACAGCAATTTGCCACGTCCCACATAAAACTTCCGATTGATTTTAGATATTTTGAATGTCCATGGAAGGTATGAAACTTCGCCCCGATTGATGGTTTCCTTGGAAATTGAGACATTTTAGTATATTGAGACGTTCAAAATCTGGTCCTCGAGTAAGAGATGTGAATATATGTTCGTTCGTTCGTTCAAAAATTCATGGCATTTTTTTCCGAAATGCAGAAAAATATGCATACTATTAAGGCATTAATACCATATGTTAAGTTTATTTCCTCTACTTTTCTGCAGCGGTTAATTAAAATCCATTCAATTATATCTAATAGAAACCAGTGAGCGGAGCAGTATAGTCGGACGGGGCCGACCATACGATACCCTACACAACTACCACGAACTCTAACTTTCTGAGGATGTTTATTCCGAGTCTGAGTAATATTTCGTGATATTTGCCCCCTCTTGTCCGATTAGAGGTTAACAACACCTCTTCCTTACTATTTTCGAATATTCAGTACAGTCCTTCTAATTACTTGTCCAGATTACCTTCACGGTGGGTTGTGTTGTGATTTTTGGATTATATTCTACTCGAAAACACACAAAAAATTATATTCTCCGTCCATTTCATCCCAAAATTTTAATCTGATCATCACCGAAAATTATAGGCGTTGTTCTTGACCATAACTGGAACCTCATGAACAATTTCAAAGCCATCAGCGCGATATTTCTCCCTCTAATGTGGTAATGGGTTACTAAATAGTATCTGAATACGTAAGCACCTGTAAATATTTGACTGTTCTGAGTAGATACATCACTATATTTGGTATCAATTTAAAGGCCAACCACTCCTCTTGGATATGCTATCAACTCCTGGGGTCTACATTTATATATGCCATAGAATACAAATTTTGTCATTTTTCACACAAAAGTCAGGGTCCATTTGAAAATATAGACCGATCTTTATCAAAACATGCATGCTTATTCTCTGTCCCGATCCCCTTCTCCATGCAAAAATTCGCGGTGTTTGGGCCATAATTGCGGCCTCTGGAGCGACCAGAAAAACCGACAAAAATTTAGGGTCCATTTCATCCCCTATATTAACCGATCTTTTCCAAAACAATAGGAGTCTTCATTGGCCAGAACCCATCCTACATGCAAAATTTCGTTTATAACTGTGGCCTGTATCGTGTTTACAAATTATAATGGACTGCAGCGGTTAATTAAAATCCATTCAATTATATCTAATAGAAAAAATGTGGATGTTTTTTTTAAAGATTTGTGCCAATATTCTAAAATGTTTTTACAGACATTAAAAAATGCAATTACATTAGGTCTCATTCATTCACCTAAGTATGCATGTGTACTGAAGTCATCGGTAAAAAAAGCCAACCTACCTCATCATTTTTATGTCCACATCGAGTTTGGATTTTTTATTTTGTTATTGCCATAATTGGTAAATGCATGAAAGCCCAAAACTCTCGCACACAACTACAAATAAGCCTACCATAAAGGCGGAACATCTAGTTTTCGAATGTACAAAAAAAACAAAATCTCTGATATATCACAAACAAATCTGTCAATGGCTAATCACAAATTTGGCAAGGCCTGAGTGAATATTAAAAAAACAAAAAAAACAACAAGCAAATTTAGTATTTCAATTACTAAAATTTATGCACCGGTCATTTGAATTAATATTGAATTTAAGAAAAGAAAAAAAAAACACACACATTAAGTCGAAGAAACAAAATGAAGATAATGGAGTGAATTTCTGAGAAAACGCCAACATAGGAACTGTAAAAATTTAAATATATATTTCTGAATTATAAATAATTTGCATATTGTGTTAACCCTCCCGCCTTCCGAAATGTCACGATGAGAACTATGGAAAAGAAACTTTCTTTTTTAGTCTATGTTTTAACAGTTATTTGTCAAAATAAAAAATTAAAAAAAACACACACAACCACAAATAAATATGATTATAGCAATTCTCTGACGATGATGATGACAACAGCAACAGCAACAATAACATTAACATACAAATATGTTTAACCTTAAAAGACAATGTTGGTCATAAGTCAAAGTTTAAAAGCAACACATCAAAGTCAATGTGAGCAAAGGTCTTCTACCGCGCTCATAAGCTTTTCCTCTTACACACATTCGCTTGGGTTATAAGTAATGGTAAATACAATTTTCCAAAACAAGGAAATGAATGGTGAAGAAAAATATCAGATTACCGTCTCTTTGCTTTCAATTTATTTTCTTTCCCTCAATCTTTTTGCACCCTCACAATGCTTGCTCACTTTGCTTATTACAGCCCAGAAGAATAGAAAATTTATGCAAAAACACCTTGCCGGACGACTTTTTGGCAAAAAAGATAGAAATATAACCACAATGAAAATGGTAAAAAAAAATATTATAAAAGAAAACAAAGCTTGAAGTCATCCATTAAACATGGACCTTAAAATAGTATCAAACTCGCCATTATTGGGTTAGTTTTTTTGAGAATTGATCTTTTGTTGATCCATGCTGCTATGAAAAATAAAAACAAAACCCAAAAAATGTTGAACAGAAAGTTAAGAAATACTTTCGTTTTCATTTCGCAGTGGGTTGAAAAGAAACTATTTGTTTTTGTTTTAGTCAATACTGTTTGGGGAATTTTGCAAATTATTTTTTTGAAATAAGTAAAAACTTTGTTATACCCCCCATCATGAGGTGAAAGGAAAGAAAACATAAGTGGTTAGTGGCTTCTATGGGCCCATGTTGTCTGGGGCTAAAAAATGTGCATAACTTCCACGCAGTAGTTTTAATTTAAGTCCTGCATATTCCGTTAGCATCAGCTCGAAGTATTCACCTGAAACAACGCCAACAGTTGAAATCACGATGGAGGTCGCAATATTGAATATAGAGCTTTGAAATTTAGGAAATGTATTGG